CAGCCAAGTCTCCCCACCAGACGCCGAGCCGCGAGAGTTAGGGGACCTTTGCCCGAATCAAACCCATCCCCGCCCCAGCCCCAGCAGTCTCACCAAGCACTTTCGAAGTTGCCTAAAGGTAATTGTTCTATTGGGTCCTGGGTGCGTCTTTTAAGGCTCTACGTATTTCCTCTACTTCACATGTTGGGGACTAGTGGGGTAAAGGGAAGCAAGGGCTTTCTTCTCTTTGAAATGCTATTTTGCCCTCTTAAAAAAAAATTGAGGTAGCACCGGTTCACAACACTCCAGGTTTCAAGTGTACAAATTCTCACCTCAGCAAATGCATGTACGACGAAACATCCACCGACCAATGTCCAGTCACCACCCAACAATCATCCCTCTGCCCCGGAATTCCTCCCCTCCCCCGACTCGTAACCACCACGCTATTTGTCAGCCTAAGGTTTTTGATTCAGTGTTTTGTTCTTTTACTCCCCCGCCTCTTTATAATTCGTATGTGTAAAATCCTATGGTGTTTGTCTTTCTTCTGATAGATTTAACATAATCCTGTCAGGATCCACCTATGTCACAAGATGTTATGCCTTGAGTATTTTCATAACAGATCATTGAAACACTACATTTAAAGTTTTAAAAGTAAACACGAATCTTGCAAATATCCTGCATTAAAAAAATATGGATAGTTAAGTCTAACTGCTAAATCAATAGTCTCAAAAACAAAAATCTCCAAATAAAACAGTAAACCTTAAGTCCCCCCCACCCCGAGTTGAGAATTTAAATGATTTTAAAATCGTCTGAGAATGTCTTGGTTTTTGGTGAAATTGTTTAGGATACTATAAAGTGATTTCATGAGTAGTTAAAAACTTTCCATCTTTAGTAACACTGTCTTTTGGGAGAGTCTAAAATTACCAAATGCGCTATTGCTTATTGGGAACTTTCATCAATAATAGCAAAACTCTATTTATCAGGAAGTATGCTAAGGGAGTAGCAACTGAACACTTGTGCTTTTAGTAACTTAGGCAATATGAATTCTCTTCATAGCAATTTCTAAGCCTGTCTTATGTAAATGACAAGTGATAAATGAAATAAATTCACAACTTAAAGTTTTCTTTCAATTGTCAGACCAAAAAGCACAGTGGCTCTCAACTCTATAATACGAACATATAAATATTCCCTGGACACCTCATTCTGGGGCTAATGTGAATTCTTTTTAGGATACTTTTACAGAGATGAGTTACTGAGATCAGTTTGGGAACTCAGGGTAGCTATCAAAATTTCACTTTACTCAAACCAATTCAGGTCAGTTTGCCAAGTGAATAGATACTAACATCCCAATTAAGGATTTGATAGGTTTCTTTCTCTCAACCCCAAATATCCTACTTACTTGAGGTCTAAAAAAACACTGGGATAAAAAAAAGGGTAAAAAACTGGGTACGTAAATGTCGAAAAAATTTTCTAGATTACCGAAGTGTGCTATTATTTGGTAAAGTCCAAATGTTATAATTTATAGCAAATTAATGTTTTCAGTGTTGGAAGCATGGGATTTTTTTTTTCAAAAGACACCAGTTGTCCACACTTCCAATATTACAGCTAATATCAAAAGAAGTCTTTCTAAAAGTGGTCTTGCTGATGCCATAATTTATAGTTGCTTTTAAAGTGAGCAAAAATAACCTGTACCCTATAGCCAACTCGCTTAAGATTTCTACCAGCCAAAAAGTTTAAAGCAGTATTAGACACAGTTTTATTAAATAACCTTTACAGCAGTTATTTGTAAGTCCAGTTCTGAAAATGTAATCTTCCCTCACTCCATCTGCCTTGATAAATACACAAGCTTGTCATAAAAATTTAGAAATGTATAAATCCATTTATAGCTCTGAAATATGACCTCCCTCACATCCAAATTAAAAAAAAAAAAAAGAATGTGGGAGAAACAGTAATTTGCAGATTCCAACATTTACAATGTATCTTGAGCGGGAGGTTATTTCCCAGTCCCTTCAACTCAATGAAGACAGCAGCCCTCTCCCCCAACCCTGTAAGTTAATGTGTAGTATATAGTCCTAGGTTTACAGGAAAATTCCAATTGAACTTTACTTTCTCCTCTTTCCTCCTTGGTGTTGCCCTCCTTTTCTTCTGCCACCCAAGCCAGGCGGTCCTGAATTCATCTTGCCTCCCAAGCCCACTTTCCTCTTTCCTCCCTGGCTGGGAGGGCCCCCTCCTCTTTTCTTGCCCCCAGGACCCGGCCGGCCCCCTTTTCTCTTGCCCTTCTGAATCATTTTCCTCTTCCTGGCCGCCGCCTCCTGATCCTCCTCCCTCATCTGTTTATTGGTGGCCCTAGTCACGTCCATCCGAGGCTTTTTGCTGTTCATAACTCGCAGCAGCTCTAACTGGCTCCTCTTCTCCGCTGCAAAGTCCCCGAAAAGAGGCTGAAACTTCCTCTTCTTGCCCGAGCCGCGGGGTGCCTTTTCCTTGGGTAGGCGCTCTTGGAAGCGCCCCACGGAGGCCGTGGAGACCTTGGCTACCTGCATGGCGCGGCCGAGCTCCTCCTTACTCTGGTGTCCAGTGGGGTGCATGCCTGCCGAGCTGGGCAGCTGCATCTTGTGCGCACGGGCAAGGTTACGTAGACGATTCAGCTCATTCTTGGCCACTCTTTCCTTCTTAGCCTGAATGCGCTTGGCGAACTGGTCCTCCAAAGGGTCGGCACGGTCCGGCACCTCGATCAACCATTCCTTGGTGTTGTCGCGGGCGCGCTGGTACCCCCAGCGGCGCCGCCACTGGCCGCTCACCTCGTCCCACACCAGATTGGTTTTCTTCTTGGGTCGGATACCTTTGAGTCGCGCGAACTGCTGCCAGCGTGTAAGCGGCCGCGGTTTGGGCACCGGTTTCTCCCGCGGCAGCCGAGTGGTAGGCTCCGGCAGCTGAGCCACCAGCGCCTCCTCCACACGTTCCGTGGGCAGCTGCCACAGCTGGTTGATGAGGAGCTGCGTGTTGTCCCGCGCCAGGGATCGCAGCTCGGTCTCTGGAGTGGGTCCCGCGCGCCGCAGCTCAGTCGGGGGATTCCGGTCTAAGGCTAGCAGGTTACCCAGGTCGAACTCCAGCTCTAGCTCCTTGTGCACCGTGATGCGCTGCAGCTTCTCTGCCTCGTCCCTCTCCGCCTTTGCCAGCAGATCCTCCACGCTGTGGCCTTCCATTGCTTGGGCTCAGTTTACTCGCCCCAGGAGACAGAACTACTTCTCTACCAGCGCCGGCTACTGCCCCGGCAGCACAACCACGTGCGGCCGCCCACACGCTGGTTCCGGAAGCGACGGCTTCACTTCCGGGGCACCCGGAACTAGCTCACAATCCGGGCGCGTTGCCAGGCACGGCCGGCAGAGGGCGCTGTTGGAAAGCGGATGGAATTAGAGACAGCTCTTTAGCGTGGTGCCCGGATGTAGGCGGAGCTGGTGAGAGGAACCCAGTGCACAAATCTCCTGGCCTCTATGGTGCGGGCGCCCAGGTGGCCAGCACCGACTCCTCAGGCCGCAGATTGAGTGCTGGAGCGAGTGTGTTAGTGTCTTTGTAACTGTTAAGATACTGTCTGCGCGGCCTTAGGTCGTGGGACTAAATTTATTTTTCACCAGTGCTGGGGGTGGGGAATAGCCGCCGGTTCACCTAAAGCTGTGTGTAGAAGACAAGGGTTACTTTGGGAGCCAGTGGGACTAGCAATTGCACATCTCAGCGGGCGCGGTGTGCGCTCGCCCCAGGGATGTCAGGGTTGGTGGCCAAGCCTCCCACTCCTCCTTGTGATAAGAGTGCTGACTAATGCAGTTAAACTGCCCGGGGGCCATTCCTCACTAAACCTCTGAGCTAAGACCCTGTAACTGTTTGGGCCTGCTTGAAAACCTGTAAGGTGTGTGTACATACAGTACATAGCTCCTGGGCGGTTATAAAGATAAATGAGTTAATAAACCCTAGGGGAGGCTCAGATTAGAGTCTGGAACATGAGTGCTCGGTAAATGTTAACTAAGCCAATTATTATTTAATCATCATAATGGTTCTGAGAGCAAAACTGAAGAGATAGTCTTATAAAGTGATTAAGAACCAGTTTGAATCAAATTATCTCAATTTAGATCTTCATTTACTTTACCTACCTTGGACAGGTTGTTTAATTCAAGCCCTACTCATAATTTGATAAATATGAAATATTAGTCCTAGTACACAATCAGCACTCAATCAATGTTCATTTATTCCACTGGTGACAAAGGATGGCTTATAGGGTAAAGAGTCTGTCCAGGGTTGTATATACAAGCAGACGGGAGGTATTTTAACAATGAGTTTAAGGCTAAGTATGTATTCTTTGCAGTGTTCCAAGGTCTTGATTCTCAGAAATGTTTGTTTTGTTGACCAGCAGCATAGCATCACCTGCGAGCTTATTAAAAATGGAGAATTTCTAGCCTCATTCAAATGTGATGAACCAGAGGTTTTTTTTTTTTTTTTTTTTTAAAAAAAAAAAGGTTTATTTATCCTTACAGAACTGGGATACAGGCCGGAGTTGTGGTGGGTGAGAGGATTCACCAGAGACAGAGTGAGGTACAGAACAAGCAAACAGACGAAGTACACTGCTGAGGGGAGCAGTTAGGGGGGTCAGGAGAGGTCTGCTGAGCCATGTGGATCACCTCCGTGGCCTGGGATCAAACTCGTGCTGCAGTGGCTTCGGAGAGCTTCATAATGCAATGCTTTAATGCGTTGCGCCACCAGGGAGAGCCCACCAGAGTTTGTTTTAACAAGAATTCTAAGTGATGAATATTCAGTAAAGTTTGGGTGGCAATACCAGATTGTGTATTTTACAAGTCTTGTTTTTCACCACAGCTCTAACTCGTTCTTGGAGTGGGGGTGGGTCTCAAAAAGACATTTCCCCAGATTTACATAAAGCTGTGTGTAGCAGAAGACATTTGTGGGTTAAGAGAGGTTATGGGTAATGAAGAGGGGGTTATACTGAAGAATTAATCCATAGAAATGGACATAGTAGCCACTAGGAAATAGATTTAGTTAGGTTTCAAATAGTGAGGGCGTTAGATACATACATCTGTTATATTTGCCAACTGAGGTAACTCTCATTTTGAGCTCACTGGCTCCTCAACACTCCTTTTTTCATTCTCTGTCCGACATTTAATGAGAACATTTTCCCTATCTGGCATTATGTTAAATCTTCTGTTTTCTAAAACCATTTTAGGATTTGTTGTTTTTGTGAGTCTTTGCATTTTACCATTTAGTACCAAGTCTTTAATACCAGCCATCCTATGGGTCCAAGGTTACAGTAAAGGTTATAGTAAAACCTTCAACCTTAAAAACTTGGAATTTACCAAAGGAGAAAACTAGGGACACTGATGCTTCTGCTTTGTGGTTGGTTTAGGTTCTGATTCATTTAGTCATTAAATGAACATTTGAATGATATTGGGTATGAAGGTTATTGAGACCTTATGGAAGAGAAATTTACAGTACTGTGTGATTGGGCCTTTAATAGGAAGTAAAACTGCAGGATATAGCTCCTCTGTCAATGTTCTGAATTAGGGGGAAAAAAAAGCAGATGTTGACAGGTATTGAGTGGAATGAATTCTCACTGGATGAAAAGCTATTTGTTTTGAATAACAGAGGTCAGTTCTTAATTGAATTCTGATTGTTTTATGCTCAATAGCTTTTTACAGTTTAAGTGGATTTTAATTTACTTGATGTCTGGAGGCTGATTTTTATGTCCACTTTTCTGGTGATAATGCTGGATACATAATAGTTAATGAACACATGATTGCTTGAGAGAATAAGGCTAATAAATTGACTTTCCTGAATTAAAAATGGATTAATGTTCATTATGTACCGTTTGAGGTAAGAAAAGCAAGCAAGATTGAGATTTGGGATTTTAAAAAATCTTAATAAAGCAGTAGTGGTCTCTAGCTTTACTTTGTATCTTTATGTTAGGTAAGACTTGGAGTCAAGAAAAGACCTACTGGAGCTGTGCAAGTATAATGTGAAATTATTTTAAGAGTTAGAAAATGGTTGGACATATTTTCTTTTCCCTTTATTGTTTTTTTCCTGTGTCTTTTTTCCATATTGGTTTCTCTTTGTCCTTTTGTCTCATGATGCAAAGGATTATGGTCATTTCCTATTGTCTGTTCTCTATGCCACTTTTGTGCAGATGGTTTTTAGGGATACATCGTTATTCTATTCCTTTTTAGAACTCCTTTTTAGAACTATCGACTCAATCTCCAACAGGCGCCTCCATCATATTTTAACATCTCAGTCTGCATAATACATCATCTTCTTTCAAATTTATTTCTTGTATCATTCATTCATCCACATTTCCTCCCTAACTAATTTTTGAAGGTCTTTCATGCCCCAGATACCATTAGGCATTGAGAATACAATGCTCGACAAAAACAGACTTAGCTGATGTCTTCATTCTAATCTCATAACTTGGAAATGAAACTATGATGTTAACCTTGACTTTTCCTATCTCCAGATCCTCTCAGTCTTAATATCCTATTATGTCTGTCCCTGCGTTATCCCTTTTTCTTCCCCACTATCACTATTATGGCCTTACCTCTAGACCAGGTTTCTTTCCTCTGCTTGAATAGATCCTTTCTACACTGATTTCTGCCCTTGGCTTCTAGCTTGGTGTGGCCAGCAGGAGGCAGTGACAGGAGAGCAGATAATATGAAGAAAGTAAGATGAGGGCCATTATCATTCTTGGGTCCCCATTCCTGGGTGCCCTCTTTCCCCAACCACTGTCCTAGTCCCTGCCTCTGAACTAGGACTGTGCAGATTACTGTGGCTTGGCTGTTTTCTCTAGAAGACCACAGCTCCAATCAGGAAGCCCGCTCTAGGCATCTACCCTCTTCCATTGGCTTGTGTCCCATTTCCTGCAGGCATGGAGGTGGTTATAGTTCTTGCATACTGTAATACTCCTTGTGAGATTCCTTAAACCATACCTTATACCATTTTTGTAACATTCCCTTTGTTGAGTTTAAATTACTCAATTTGACTGCTGCCCATTTTCTGCCTTATAGTTAGAGAGTTAGCTCAAGCAAATCCTATCAGTTTCTGCCTCCATTCTTTTTTTTTAGGGCCAGTCCTATGGAAGATTTACCTTCCATGGATTTTGCCAAATCACTCTTCTTAACAAGATCATGATTGTTCTCAGTCTTGGATGTTAACGATCTTTTCCCAAAACAATTCTCCTTACTTACATGGCATGATGATACTTCTTATGCTTGTTTTCCAAATATTTCATACCCACGCCTATTTTTCTTTTAAGTTATCTTTCTAGAGCCTTAAGAACATTATTCAAGAAAGGCAAAAAATGATGCACAGGACAGAAAAAGTAATAATTATATTTGTATAGCAATTACTGCAAAATTTTTTATTAACAAAAGCAGACCTTTACAGAGATAGTACCTCCATCACTTCCCCCAACCAGAAACAAAAAGGTTAAAAACGTGAAAGTAATACCTATAATGTTCCCTCAAAACAACTACTTTGGATAGTGAGGCAGTTCTGAAAGTAATTTCCTTTTCATATTTTTGATACTGCATTAGCTCAGATTTACTTCTTAAATTGCTTTCAGTTGCTTGGTAGTGGAAATTATTAGGAATATTTCAACCATTATTTTAGCCTGCTGTGAACATAGTTACTTTGAATATTTTTGTTTAGACAATTCATTGTGCCAGGAATTTGATAAATGACCCTTAAAATGCTTATGTTATTTCTATATGGTTCATTTTTACTTATTTAAATTTTAATTTGAAAGTACTAGAAGGAAAAAGTTTGAAAATTTCTTTGTCATAGGCAAAACCCATATTTCAGTTTTAGTCAGAAATCTTTAATAAAAATCTATTGTGGGCCTCCCTTGGTGGCACTATGAAGCTATTGCACTACAGCACAAATTCGATTCCTGGCCAGGAAGGTGACCCACATGGCGTGGCAGACCTCTCCTGTCTTGGCCACTGCTCCCCTTAGTAATGTACTTTGTCAGTCTGCCTGTTCTGCTCCCACTCTGTCTCTGGTGAAGCTTCTTACCCCCTCAACCCCACCTGCATCTTTGACCTGTACCCCAGTTCTGTATGCATAAGTAAACAAATCTTTAAAAAAAATCCATTGTAACAAAAAAGATAAAGAATTAAGATTTTGTACAGTTAGATTACCAAACAGACATTTGCCCAGAAAAAAACTCAGAATTTTAGGGAAAAAAATGATTGCATTTTGAAAATGTTTTAAATTGCTTTGCTTTCTGTAAAATAC